CCTTCTGAGGTGTAATCTGAGAAGTCTGTTTTCAATATAGTCTCACAGTCAGAGTCAAATTGAAGCAGAATTGGAGCAGAGATAAACATTGATTTTAGATGCTTAAAAGCTTCCTCAGCCTTGCTCATCCACAAAAAAGAAATATTCTTGCATCTAAGAATTGTCAGTGAGGTCACAATCTTTGAGAAATCTCTGATAAATTGTTTATAGAAATTAGCAAAGTCTATAAATCCTTGTACACCTTTAAGAGTAGTAGATGTCACTCATTTCAAAACAGCTTTAATCTTCTCTGAATTCATTTATATACCCTTGCTCACTTCAATGATGAATTCAAGATATTTTATGCTGTTCACCTCAAGCTCACTTTTTCTGATATCTGCCTGCAAGCCTGCTTTCTGTAGATGCATAAGCATCTTTTGTATATGCTCACAATACTCCTGTAAGCTTCTTGAGAAAAATATCAAGATGTCATCTAAATAGACTGAGCAGAAGTCATTCAAATATTTATATAATGCTCAGTTGATATATTTTTGAAATATGCTCAGAGCATTGGTCAAATCAAAGGGTGTAATCAGCCACTCAAATAGTCTGTATCTGATTCTAAAGGCCATCATCCACTCATCACCTTCTGTGATTTGAATCTTGTAAAAAGCTGCAATAATGTCCAGCTTAGTGAATCATTTAGCCTGTTCAATTCACTGTAGAGTCTTACTGATTAATGATAAAGAATATCAATTCTTTCAGGTGATTTTGTTAAGAGCTCAATAGTTCACATAGAATTTTAGTTCACCCCCAGACTTCTTTGTGAATAGTATGAGAGTGGCTGCAGGGGAGTTGCTCACTCTAATAAAACTCTTATTCAGATAATCTGTAAGAGTTTTTTGCAAAGTCAGTAGTTCCTCTCAAGATATATTATATAATAGGCCCCAAGAGAGTTGTTCTGTGCTACCATCAGTCTATTTAATCAGTTCAATCTCATGATCTCTACCTGAGCCACAAAGTGGGGGTAGAGCATCAGTGACTTCCTTATCAAATATGTTCAAAAACTCATGATAATGTTCAGGCAGCTTTTGTCTAGGGTCAATCTTTAATTTCACTTCTAAAGTCTTTTGAATGTCAGTCAAACTGACAGTGAAGATCTTGATGTTTCACTTCTCTCAAGTACTCACAAGTCTAGAAAAGCTTACAGCAGAGATGGGAATCACATCAACTTTTGCATTTGAACTAGACTCTACCTCTATGCCACTCTCTTCAAATCTCACAATTCTTTGATGAAGGATCACAGTCACCTTTTGCTGGGCCAGCCAAGAGTCACCTAGATACATATCATGATCATATAACTCATTCACCATGTAAAGAAAGGCTCATTCAGTTATATGACCATCTATATCAATTTGAATGCCAGTCACTATGCTTGTGAAGAGTCTCATGAAGTCTTCAAAGTTAGTCATTTTAACAGAGGGAATTTCAATGCACAGGAGCTTATGCTTGTTAACATAGAATTGAGAAATAAGATCATAGACATTACATTCACTGTCTATCATTGCTCTAGTTGAAAAGGCATTATCTACTAAAGCATCAACAGTGAAGGGTTTGAATATCATCTTAGATTTAAATCTTCTTCATTGCTTTCTCATAAGCTTTTTATTTCACTCCTTTCAGTGTCTTTTGGTTGGAGCTACTCTTTTCTCAAATCCTCACTCATATTCACATTATTGTCATCCAGTACTGGCTCAGGGATCACCTTAGCTATCATGGAGATAGCAGAGTGTATAAAAGATTTGAATGAGCAGCTCTTAATCATATGACCTTCAGCTCCACATCTCAGACACAGGCCTTGCTCTCCTCATTGATTAACCTCTGTCTGATTTATCAATTTGATGTGGCAGGCACTTGGGGTCACAGCACCAGGAGAGAGATCTATCAGATCATCAGTAGAAGCTTGAGACTGATTTCATCAGTTAAGAACAGCATGACAAAGTAGAGAATGTGAATTAGATGTCATATGATTCAAAGAAGATCTGTCCTCACAATGTTTAGACCAATGCCTTAAAGTCTTAAGCTCAGAGAGTTGATGATCAACTAATCTAAGCTCTCTGCAGTAATTCTTATAGAGAGATAGTTCTCTTACACTCATCATGCCTTCCCTCAGCTTCATGCTTAGAACAGATTTCAAATACCTCTTTTTAATATGATCATTTCATCTGTGACCACCAGCTTCCAGCAGTAGCTGATTAAATCCAGGCAGAAAGTCAAAGAGAGCTCTTCTACTTTATTGTAGATTGTTGAGCTTTTGCATAGTCTTTTTCTGTCATGCAGAATCACTAAAGAGCATGTGTGTCTGCTTCAGTAAGCTCTCTACTGTGAAGTTGATCTTGTCCTTATTATTCTCAACTCAGAGATAAACTTGAGCTGCTACCATTCCTTTTAGTCTTGAGTATACATACCAAGCACATTTCTCATTATTACCTAAAGCTTTCTCATCAATCTTAAGTTTTGATTGAAGCTTTAGCTCTCACTGAGGGTAATGCTTCAGATTAAAATCATCATACTTCTTGCAGTCCAGTAGTTTGATCTTTGATCTTCTGACTGCAATGAGTGATTGTGAGTTCAATTGAGAGAGGGTTGATGTTGGAGTGTTCAAAGCTTGTCATAGATTAGCTATTTCAGCTTGCTGAGCTGCTATTAAATCTTTGTTCTCACATTGGACCTATTTCTGCTGTTGAAGAAAGGTCATCCATTGTTGTTTGAAGCTGCTGAAGGTGTCCCTGCTCATTGCTTCATGTTGATTCATTTGTTGTACAAGTCTGCCACTTTATCTCATTCAGCTAGACATTTTCAATGTTGCTTATTCATTTGTTAGCATGATTGCTAATCCAGTCTATTCATATATCAGTGCTATCACTGAACTTCATGATGCAGGATTTAAGACTCTCAATAGCCTATCATATATCAGCACATTTGCTGAGCTTTGTGATACAGGATTAAGGCTCCCAGTGGCCTATCAATGAAAGGAGTGAAGCAATTCGTAATGTAAAGGGTTAAGCTCTAAGAACTAGAGGCTAGTCCTCCTATATAACAAGGACGAATTGCTTGAGAAAGGGAAGAAAAGAATGAGATGAGAACTTGAGCTTAAGCAAGCTCACATAGCATGATCACATGCGCACATGCAAATGATGGCTAGGCTGAGTCAGCCAGCCAGAGCAAATCTAGGGGTTCAACCTCTTATAATATCACATATATAGTAGATTATTTACAATAATATAACTTTGATTTTGATCTTCTTTTTTGATTTTTTCAGCTCATTAATTATCAGAATATCTCTTCAATTATATTTATTTTGTAAAAGGCTTATGCTTCTAGCCATTAGAAGGAAATCAACTTATCATTTTGTATTTGAATCAGTAAGATCTACTTTGCTTACTGTGATGTAATAGATGTAATATAATTCTGAAAGAAAACTTTCTTGAAAATAAAATTATTAGATAAAAATATCACTTTGTATAGAAGTATTAGAAAACTGAACCCAGTTTCTATTATTATCTGAAACTAGCACATGTTGACAAATAGTATCTGATTGTCACTCTAGTCTTTTCTCTCAAAGTACTTATTGAAAAAGTTCTCAGTACTCTGAAATATGCAGTTATATATCTTCTTAAAGATTTTTATATTTATCAACTTACATCTCTACTTAGAGTTTTTTTATAATGATGAGGTGAATTTGACTAATATACTATAAAAGGTAGGATAGATGCTTGCCAGTGAAGTTGATTGTGAGATGATAACTATGAGATCAAGTATAGCTTACCAGATATCAATATCTGGTATATTTTAAATAATGAGCTGCGCTAACAATATCAAAAGTAGTTGTAGTTGAATTACCTTTGCAAATGCATTCAAAGATATCTGGAAGTTGAAAAGTCACATCATGATTACTTATTTCAGACTTAAGGTCAAGAGCTATCTCTTACCTCAGAAAAAAATAAGAAGTTGTGATATTATCTTTTGATAAATTTCATTCTGAGGATCAACTAAGATATCATATATTTGCTTTATCTTCTGAAGTGAGCCTCGTAACTGATTTAGCAAGTCTTTAAAAAGATACTTTGCGATGAGATCGTAATCACTATATAAAAAGTTGACCATATATAATGTTATGATATATGTAGCAATAGAAGAGATAGAGAAGTTTTAGAAATAAATTAAAAAATTTTAAACTAGTCTTGAATAATTTTTATATCTTCACATTTAGCCTGGTCATGATTATAGTGTCTGGAATAGTAGTTTTAGAGCTTTATACAGCATTTAATCAATCTCAAAATCCAGTTCTTGCTAACAATTTTGAAGGGAAGGTGGGGAGAAAGAGAGAGGGAAATTAGTAATAAAATGTTATAATGTAAAAAGGTAAAGCTATATCCTCAATAAATGCCAGCTAGAGAGGAAATCTTTGTTTAGCTAGATTTAATACTCATTAAACTAGCCTATCCTCTTTAACAGAAGATAATATATATGAATTTGTACATAAATTCATGCATGCAAACTGGTCATAAGGTTGATAGATGAAAGTTGAATGTGACACATTAAATAGCCTTGCAGCTTCATGAATTGAGGATATTTCTTGCTTTTAATAGCATTTATTACAAGTTCAAGCCTTTACTCTTGCTCTAGAGAATTTAAAGTCTTTTTATTGTGAATTGGTGGCATAATTGCATGAGGCTCAAACAAGCTATCAACATGCGGCCGACGAATCCCATTATTCAACCAGAACTTCTTTTTTACATTCGTCGTTAACTCGCTACGAATTGCATCTGAGTGGGGCGGTTTTCAGTGCAACATTGGAAATAAGTCTATATCTACACGGTTCTGTCAAGCTTCCTGTTCAAAGGTTTCTTTCGAATGACGTCACGGCAGTCTTGGGAGAACAGCATCCCACCAACGTTCATCTTAATGGCAATGTTGACAATATTGAACATATAGTTTAACAGTTTGGTGTTATTTTTATGGCTCCTCAATATTACGAGAACGAGCTTCAGCTCATCAAATTGGAGAACGAGTTACTGCACCAAGTTCGAGCTGAATTGTGTGAGGCTGTAAAGTGCGCCACGGGTATTCTCAAGGCTGAAGACCCAGAGCCGCATCCTGATGATAGCAATGCATTTGGCACCATCTACAACGGGTCTCTTGGTATGTGTTCTGCTTTTTCCATCTATGCGAAGGTTTGTCTGGGGGTTGAACATTCCAAATAGGAATTGCTCTCACGTTTCTCCGGCTAGAGGAGCAGGTTAGCTATATAGCAAATGAAGACGAAATCCCGTCTCTGGCATCTGAATTGGTCCAATTGGCTAGTTCGAGGATTAACCCTAATGTATCAGGGGTCAGTCAGTTGAGGACAAGGAGTCTTTCACCTTTGGCCTCAGGAACTCTTGGTGCTTCTCTCGTCCGTATCATAGCGGCGATTACTCGACCTACACCGCGAGCGATAGATTCGAGTGACCTGAATATTCTTCAAAACGCTGCTGAGCTATCTCTCAAACAGGGGACAATGTTAGGCGGCGATGAAGCATTATACGGACGTGTTGGCCTATTGTGGGCTCTTTTGTACATTCGCCAACACTGCCTCGATGAGGAAAATATGGATGTTTTGATTCTACTGTTCACGATGATCCTAAGAATTGTGAATGTAATTTTAGAGACTGGAAGGCTAGGCGTAGACGAATATCAATAGTTATATGGACAATAGAGTGTCCTACTACTTATGTGGCCATGGCATGGTAAATACTACATCGGAGCGTGAGCATTTCCCCCACAACATCTCCTACGTTTCCTTGGATGACCTATGCTGACTTGAAATTGCCTTCAGAATTCATGGGACAGGTAAGCAAGTATTCCAGTTTACTGGGGTGAAAACGACTTAACATTGATCTAGCTGGTATTTTGGCCATTCTTCTTTCCTGCAATCTTGAGGAGCTTGACGATGGAGCCACCCACCATCTACCCATCATCGCACAAACTATAAATAGCCTATGCAGGCTTACCATCGAGAATGGCGGCCACCTTCCCTCATCACTTCCAATTCACTCATCCTCCCGTCATTCCCCTTATGTACAAATTTGCCACGGTTCCCCAGGCCTACTTATCCTGCTTGCCCAAGCAAGAAGCATCCCCGACCTAACACGGTCATTCTGGGAGCCAGATTGGGATGAAGCCATCCGGCTTGGCAGTGAGCAAGTTTGGGAACAAGGACTGCTATTCAAAGGCGGCGGATTGTGTCATGGCATCTCCGGAAACGCGTGGCCCTTCCTAATGCTACACGATAGCTTTGAGTATGGACAGGAAAACATAGCTCAGGCGAAACTCTCATTCAGAGACAGGACTGGCATTATCCCTTCAGAAGAAGAGGACCTCACGCCAGATTATTTTCTGTCGAGAGCCTTGTCGTTGCTGCTCTATGCGCAGAAGACTCCACCTTTCCACCGTCGAATATCTCCTGGCGAGCTCCGGTTTCGCATGCCAGATACTCCCTACAGCCTTTTCGAGGGGCTGGCAGGGACCTGCGCTGCGTGGGCTGAAGCCTGTGTGGTCATTGAGGCTCGGTTGAGGAAAAATAAATTGGATGAAGAGGGCAGTGGGGCCGTTTCTGAAAAGAGGGATGAGTTACTTTCTAAGCACCTGAATCATGAATTGGGATTTCCTGGGATTACATTGGGAGGAATCCGTTGATTCTGTTCAATTAACATATCTTATTCGAATGAACTATGTTACGGTTTAATTTACATTTTATTCTGCTCCGTTGAGCCCTGTTAATAATGAATGGATTCGTCATTGGGGATGGCTAATTCTGGATGGGTAGTACTATCGCACCGGTCCATTTGATAGTTCCGGAGATCAACGTCTGTCTCAGTTAGCCTTAGGGTAGTCTCCAGCTGCCGGCGCTGTATATAACTCCTGCTTCTCCCCTAGGGTGTATGATGTTAATGAGCACATATCGTAACAATGACCACGAGATCACGGAACTGGTATGTAAATTTTAACATCTATCGAAATATTCCAACATGTATGGCGCTCCCATGTACATCGGAAAATGGATCACAAGCCACCATCAGGGTCATCATCCGCCAATAAGGCAGCATAATCATCCACAGACGCAAATACCGGTAAGTGCTTGAGCTTCCTCTTCTTTTGCCTTCTCGTAAGCTTGCCTCCCTTGCCTCCCTTGTCCGTAGCTGCAGCGATAAGTTCTTGAACTTCGCTATCCAGATCAGAAGGTATTTCCTCATCACTGTCACGAAAGGCATCTTCATCTGAGACGTCCATCTCAAATGCATCCTCGCCTCCGAATCCTTCGAACTCTTCGCTTCCTTCGGCCACAACGGCTTCTTTGTCTTCTGGTTCTTCCCCTAGCTCTCCCTCATCATCGCCACTTTCCACATCATCCATGTCGAGATCTTCAAGATCACCATCATCTCCATCTCCCATAGCTGACGCCAAATCATCAACATCGATATCATCCTCACTTCCCCCTTCACCCTCAAGCTCCGGTCGGGAGTGAACAAGCGCCTTCCAAATCTCCGACTCTGCATCATACTCATCTCCATCTCCACCCCTACCCCGGAAACCAGATTTCTTCTTCGATTTAATTTTGCGCGCGTTGTCCTGATCCATGCGGTTAAAGTACTCGTGGAAAAATACATCTTCAGCGGCAACTTCATCGTATTGCTTTTTCCAGAATGTTTCTTTGTTCACAGGTTCTTGGCACTTGGCAGTAGTTCCTCCAGAGGTAACCAATAAGCCCTTGCTCTCGCCTCCTGCGAGAGGCTGCATAATCGAATTCCCACGCATAACGGGGGCCGCTTTGGGATTGCGGTAGGCAAATCTGTCCAAAAAATGAGTAAGGGTGTGGATTGAAAGGTCTGGCTTTCCGGACATGGTGGTGTGATCTAGTAAATGGGAAGCGTTGACAGAAACGGAGGGATGGAAATGAGAAAGAAAAGGAAGCTACATTTAAGATTAGTGACAACCGTCCAGTCATATGAGATAAAATCAAGAGCACTACTTACTAGTTCCCAGAGACAACTTCTATCAGCATTGCTGTGTTCAGGATCTCTTTTACGAGGGTCATATCGAATTTCCATTTTCTTCTCTGCCTGATCTGGCGCCCGCCCAACAGTCTGCTCTTCATCTTCAGGAACATCTCTAAAGGCTTCCTCATCGTCGTCTTCGATGTTCTCCGGGTCATCCATCAGTGAAGATAGACTTGGAAAGGCCTTTTCCAGCTCCCTTATTAAATAGAACACTCCACAAATAAAGGGAGGTTGATGCAGTCCGAGAATTTGAACGAGTCGCTTCACGAAAGCCTTCACTCTTTTGTCATTCAAGTCGAACTTGAGAGATTTATATAGGAGATTTAGATACAACGACTGTTTTGAAGATGTGGATATTCGAGGATCAAGCAAAGACTCATATAGGGTTCGATAGAAACGGTCCAAAGAAACCTGGTGAGAAGAGGATAGTTGCTGGATAAGCATCAAAGCTTGGATGCTTGTGTTGAAATTGGAAGAGTGCGTAATGATGAATAACGTATCGATATGTTTGGAAAGCCTAAAATGCAAAAATGGATGTAAGAAACCAGAATGAATAATAGTAGGTGATCGGGGTCAGACTTACTTTTCGACATCAGAACTAGTAAATGGGTAAGCTCGATTAACTCCAGTTAAAACACCTGCAGTAAGCTTCTCGCGTAACTCATCCTCCTGCGCCTGGCCTTTCGGAACTGCAGCGCAACCTTGTCGCTTCTTAGATTTACCATCATGTTTGCCATGCTTACGCTCAGAATGACGCGCAGAATCCTTGGCCGGCTTCAACAGCGTAACGAAAAGACCGAAGTAAATATCGAGAAGCTTAGAGGCGACATTCTCCTCACCACTGCTCAACACGGTCTGGTTAAGAGTAATGATTGCGTAGTATTTCGCGTGCTGACTTTGGCTTGGTCTAAAGAGTATGTCTGATTCAATCGCTGAGATTATAGTTGTCTTCATTAATGGGTGGGCTTGTTCGAGTTGAAGTAGAAGATACGAAGCCCGCGAAGCTATCTTTTTGTTTGGGTCGCCAAGTTTATTGACCAGAAGACGTAACAGATTGGATTCTTGCTCCGGCTTCTCTTTCAAGAGCTCGTAAACATAGGTTACTGCTCTGGATCGTGAAAATTCGATTTCATCATTACACCACACTTCGAGGATTTTCAGAATTTCGAAGTATTGCTCTTTCAAAAAATCCTCAAAGGCCCAAACGATGAGATGGCTCCGCTCTAAACCATTGGGTAAAGGATTTGACGACATCCAGTCACCAGGAACACCCTCAAGAGCAGCCAACAATGCGGGTTGGTTGGCCAATGATTTGAGTCTGCGATCACTGGGAAGGAGTGTGCCTTGGGCAAAGAGATCTTTAAGCGACCTAAGAACCTCAACAGCTTGGGCTCGACTTCGCTTTTTAGCGAGTCCAACAAGGTTCTCCAATGCTTTCACATTATGTATAGGTGACTCTTGTACCGCTAATGTCAAGGCGGACACCTTATCGCTTAGGGTTCCGGAAGAAACAATTGTGGAATAGAACTTGCGGGAAGATAACGATTGCTGTGCAGCTGCAAAGGCTTGATTTTCCAAGTCAAGGAGATAGAGTGCATATTCCCGAATACGGTCCAAGATGTGCCGGGAGATGCCGCTCCTCTTCGTTGATTCTAAAGAAATTGGGGGTAGAGGTATGGCATACCAATCAGGTCGAGGTTCGACGACCTAACGCCAGGTCAGATTTGAGTTGGGATCGAACTGAAGGGAAAATGACAACTAACCATGTTGGACAACCGTGAGTTATGGAGCTGGTTCAACTTTTTTGATTCACTATCTTCTGCATGAGTTGGTTTCTTAAGGTTAATTTTCTTTGGAGGCTCCTTTGATGGCTTGGATTCCTTCGGAGAGTTTGCTTCTCTTGATGGCTTTGAAGCTGGAACCGGTGTAACAGCTTCCGCAACGGAAACTTTTTTGCTCGGAGGTTTGGATGCCGGGGATGGATTACCGCCCTTCAGCATTTGTGCGATATCATTTCGGAGAGTGTTTTCGTTAACCTGCTTCCCGTCCTGCTTGGGAGTAACCGCAGACATTTCCATCTCCGAGTCAGAGTCAATTCCCGCTAGAAGGTCGTAGTCCTCTTTACTCCCTCCAATCGCATATATTTCATTTTCCAATTTATTTCCATGTCCTTCTCGTTTTCCCTTAGGCCGTTCTCTTCCTTTTACAGCTCCCTGAGGAGCTATTACCTCTCCATTCCAATCTCGCTTCTTCTCCTTCCTGTTATCCGACTTAACTTCAGCCTGTGGTCCCGCATATTTTCGATTTCCCAATTCATCGGTGGGAGCTTTTACCTCCTTCTGTGGCAGAGTTTCCGCGCCGACCCGGCCCTGTAAGCGCTGTTCAATGCGCTTTGTGAGGTTGGCTAGAATTCCATCGGAGAGGTCTGGAAGTGAGTCGGTATTGGAGACGGGAGGTTTGGCAGGTTTTTCCGCAGCCGAAATTGCAATATCGTTTGCGGAAGAACGCCTTCCCTTCGTCTTTGACTTCCCCATCGTATGAACTGTGGCTGTATAGCGCACAGAAATTGCTAGATTATGTGTTTCCTAACCCTCATTTTCTCGAAGCCAAAAGTTATTTTTTTGATACTGGATGCGTCGGAAGGGGTTTCTCCGAAAATCCGACACTGAAGGCACGGGCCATCGAATTTTATAAGGTTGGACAATCAAATGAGATTGATTCAATTGCATATAGAATTGGCAATATATCTCAAATCTGGAAGGGGTTTTTCTTTTTCTTTTTTTAAGTTTATGCGTTATGGATGTTTAATTGAGTCTCTCTTTTAAATGTGGCTCCTATGAATGTCACCTTGTTTGGAGCTGGACGGCCTCGTCGATTTCCTCTCATCCCGTATCCTTCCCAATTTCACCGATGTAGATTTCATGTATGTTGACTGCATAACATTCAATGTGTTTGAATAGCTTTGCAGAGCTAACTAATATACAGAATGATGGAAGAAGTCGACTCTCAGGCTTCTGGACTCCGACGGGAGGAATCAGCAAAAAGTCCGGGACTCATGGTATGATCCGAGACCTCCTCACACTTACGAACATAGACTGATCAATTCTTTGGCAGATGCAAATGATTTACTGATTCAAGGCGGTTTTCTTCGTCAGGTGGGATCAAACGTCCCCATCTTCTATTTTCTTTGGCTCACCATTCTTAGGCCTATTCAGGGGTATTCCATTTACTTCCGCTTGGGCTGCGGGTGCAGGAGAAGCTCGAACGCCTGATTGATAAGCACATGCGCACACTTGGTAAGATTTCCAAGTCTTCTATCATTTGACTGGTCGTATGTTTACCGTAGCGACAAGGGGCATCGAAGCTATCTTTATCATCCATATCCTCCCAGGCTTTGTGGGAAAAGTCTGGAAGACTCAAAAAGGATTCAGAGGTATTCTGCAATTTCCTCCCAATCCCTCAATACATTAACTGAGACAATGGACATTAGTTTTTTAAATTTGAAGACCGAAAAGAGGCTAGGTTTCTCCTTGCTCCGACCCACGAAGAGGAAATAACCTCCCTTGTAGAGAGTTCTGTGAGCTCATACAGAGACCTTCCATTACGATTGTATCAATTTGGTGAGTTCCGATCTGGTTTCAAATCACCATATACTGCTAACGAGTACTTTTGAATTTGTAGGCAGGAAATATCGGGATGAGCCAAGGCCGCGACAGGGGTTACTTCGCGGCAGAGAATTCATGATGAAAGATCTCTATACTTTCGATTACAGTGCTGAGAAGGCAATAGAAACTTACAACGCTGTCAAAGAGGCCTACATACGACTATTCAATGAGCTCAAGTTGCCATACATTGTGGCTGCTGCAGATTCCGGCAACATGGGAGGAAGTTTAAGTCACGAATTTCATCTCCCAAATTCGAAAGGCGAAGACACTATTGTTAGCTGTTCCAGCTGCGGTCATGTATACAATGAAGAACTTTCCGACGGGAAAGCATACAAGGATCCTGTCGAACAATCAACATATTCAATTCTCGATACAGAGTCTGCAGGATTAGGGAAACAACAAGCCCCTACGATCTCAACTGACATGTGGATGAGCATTTCAAAAGATAGAAAAACTCTTGTAAGAGTTTTCTACTCGAAGTATCTGGTACAGGAGGGTCACTCCGACCCAGTGGAACGCAAGATCAATTCACATGCCGTTAGAGCGATCGCTCGAGAAGCGGGAGTGGATCTCGATGCCGGAGTAAGCAGCCCGTTGATGAAATGGCAAGCTAGAGCCAGTCAAGATCCTCAAGTCTCTGCGGCTCAATCTAGTTATCCTGCTATTTTGGATATTTATGATTACCGCGTCCGACCTTGCGATCGTCCTCCACTACCAGCAGGACAGAGCAAGGAAACTCTAGAACAGCTAAATGTGCAATTCTTGTCCATTCACCAGTACCCGGGGACTAATGCAAAACTCGACTGCGTTAGTGCTGCGGCTGGAGACAGGTGTTCTAAGTGCGGTGAAAACTCGGTAGAAACACACACTGCCATTGAACTTGCCCATACATTCCATCTCGGAACTCGATATAGCGAAGTGCTAAATGCTTCTGTGGCTATACCTTCTTCAATTTTAAGAGGTAGCTTAACAACGGAAAGAACAGCTTTAGCTCAATCAAGCAGAACGGTATCGGTTCCTCTTGAAATGGGATGTCATGGTATTGGTGTTTCCCGGATGATTGCTGCTGTTGCGGACACCCTGGCAGACCCCAAAGGACTCAATTGGCCCAGGGTCATCTCTCCCTTCGATGTTATAATCATTTCAGACAGAGAGCTGGAGAAGGAAGCTGAACAAGTCTACGACACGCTCATGGAAAGTCAGAAAGCCGACGTCGATGCGATAATTGACGATAGAGAGAAGAGTCTCACATGGAAACTCAGAGATGCAGATTTGATTGGGTATCCTGTGATAATCGTCATTGGGAAGTCGTGGAAGAGAGACAACAAACTGGAGATTCAATGTCGACGATTAGAGAATTTTCGGGAAACAGTATCACTACAGGATTTGCGCTTTTATACCAAGTCGTTGCTTGATAGGCTCTAGAAGAAGGTGGTCTTACTTTCTGTTACGTTGTGATATTCCCTCAACATGTATTATTATAAGGGTTTGGGTCCAGGGATAGTTTAATATATTGTCACCTTCTAATATTTGAAGGCCCTGAGCGAGTCAAAATTGATTCTTTTGGTCCTCCGTGTTTCTCAAATATAGGTTGGACAAAAGGTTCGCATGTATTATATTTTACACCAAATTTTTCCAAAGATTTCCATTTCTGAAATTGTCTCTCGCTTTTACATAGATTTCTCTCTGTAAATGAACCATTTAATGATATATTTTGAAGCCCATAGGCTCTCCTCAATTAGTGCATATCGATAGTGCTGGCACATTTTCCTGGTTGTCCTTCATAGCGACTAACAACTTCCATCCAGACCCATCAAATTTGTTAGTATGTCAAACTATAATTACTCTCCACAACTCAAACAACATAACAAGATATGCTGAACCATCTCCTCCCGGATGCCCAATCACTATTATTTACATCCCAAAATAATTAATCGTCTACCTCTGTCCATTCAATTCATACCCCTCTACACAACAAAACCGAGAATATGTCCTCGCAGTCCTCTTTCGCGCAGCCAGAGCCTAGTGAAACCCCTCCAGGAGCAAGTCCGTCCAAACAATCCAACTGCCCCAAAATTTCCCGTTCCCAATTCTCAACTCCATGCCCCTCTATCTATGGAAAATAGACAAATCATTCCTTAATTCCCGCTCCTAGATTTCTAATCAACTAACCTGAAAGCCAAATCACCAGTTGACCTCGCAACCCTTTCCACCCCGCAACTCCGCTCCCTCCAATCCCGTCTGAGCTCAGAGCTGGAACATCTGACAAGCTCCCACGCAAAATTACGAAACGCTCAGTCAAAGTTCCGCGATTGCATCCGCTCGATAAATGACGGTATAACCCCTCCCACCGGAGGTACAAATGGTGCTGGGGGAGGTACTGTGGCCGGGGAAAGTGACGATATTCTGGTTCCGTTGACGAGCTCTTTGTATGTCAAAGGAACCCTGGCAGATAGGAAGAATGTAATTGTGGATGTGGGGACGGGATTTTATGTTGAGAAGGTGTGTAATTTCTATGCTTTACGCTTCCCTAGTATTGTGCAATTGGGTGTATCCTAGAATCATGGGATTAGGGTCGTTTACTACGCCTGTTTTACTAAGAAACCCACAAGTTTCTATCCGCTAACTAATTTTCCCTTGCTTAAATCTAGACAATGCCAAAGGCCATCGCCTTCTACAACGCAAAGGTCGAAGAGCTAGACACAAATCTACGAGAGTTGGAGAAAGTCGTGCAATTGAAGAGCATGAATCTACGGACAATCGAGGAGTGTACGTTTTCTAATATTTTTCTTTGTGCTTAGATAGTCTCCGATCTAACAGGTCCTAAACAGTCCTCCGCCAAAAGCTCCTTAGTGAAGCTACTACAGGACCATCCAGTTCCGGGGGTGGTGGTGATGCTTAATTATATGTCATCTTATTACTTTAGATAACTAGTTATCCGATATAACAATGCCCTGCATTTGGCTTATTCAACACTACGATATGCCTGGGGTTATATTGCGCATATAGGGGCCTTTCATCATGCCAGGCAATTGTCAAAATATGCTCAAACTGGTTTTGACCCTTTGCCTTTCCTATGGCCTTTAACAAATTTAGAGAACAGATCATTGCCAGGTTATTGCGGCGCGGGCTCCTTATACGCCCTCCTCATCATCGGAGTTAAACAACTGGGAGATATTATATTTCTGGTTTTTGGACTTGGCTTCTAACATGGAATTAAATTTGCTACCTACACAGTCATGGATCAGGAAGTCGAACTGTGTGAGCTGTTAGTAAACTCCCGTTAATATTCCTTGCTGGCTGTTAATATATAAATCTGGCCTCTTTAGGGTGAAAACGATCCTTGGTAGCGAATGCAAGAAGGGACCATCTTTGTTATGATTGCTTGCCTCAACTACGTTTGTTTGCAGCAAAGTTGATGTTAATGCGTTGGGTGGTAAAAATCCGTCCTTGACAAATTCCCACCCGTCCGCATAAACATTATCAAGAAGACGAGTTAAAAAATTAGGACATTTGGGAGTGAGAAAAGAACGTATGTCAAATGCCACAATTCATCGATGTTAATGGGTCATTGGCCAATCCTTCAATCTGTTTACAAACTCTTATTCGGCATCGATTGATGCAATTTCCTTTCCAAGAGACTGCGACAACTGCGCAACTCCTCACGATAAAGCAGTGTCTTATGCCTAGGACTTGTTTGGGACCTTACTCGTTTTCGTAGGTTTAATATGCTCACTAGGAGCAACTTCAAACCGCTCAGTGACATCACTACCTCGTTCGGGAGCCAAAAGCAGTGCTACCTGGTTGACTAAGTGGATGAATTGGTTAAATCCAGCATTAACATCTGTCAAGGGCACATCATCAACGTAGGGAAAGAAGGTGATCAGACTAGCATTCCAATCGGCGGCTTCCCCAATCCTGAAGCTACCAATTTTGCCTAGCATGTTATCCCATTCGTCGTGAAATATGGATGCGCCCCATGTCGTTTCAGCCGTTTGGTTCATTTGGTTACGGTAATTGCTGCTGGTATAAATGGGACCTGAATGAACGGCGGGATGGTACGTATCATACCGCGCAAGCTCAAAGATGTACCTAGAACCTTTCAGACAATACCTAAGCGCTGATTTCTCCGTAACTTTAGAAACAGAAATAAAATCCGAAAATGTAACTCGCTGTTTCGCAGCACCACGAAGCCCATCTGTAGGACCGCTCTTGAATTGGACTGAGTGAGCAAAGCTTTTTAGAGATTTTTCAATGGTTGACAGTTCCTGAAAGTCAAGTGCTTTGATTTCCAATTGCCAATCAGATCTGTTGAAGAGTTAGATGTTTGTTTTCGATTAAACTGCCTCAGCTACTAAGTGGGTTTGGGTTTGGGGAATACAAACTTTTCGAAGTCTACAACCCCAATTTGAAGTGGTGGTCGTTTATCTCCAAGTCCATAGTCACCATGAGGCTTTACCCACCGTCGCTGGGACACCTCAAAAATATCGGGGCTGAAACGGGACTCTCTAAATTCGGCCTCCAAGCGGAGCAATGCTTCATTAACATCTTCAAATTCGATATTTACGGCGTAGAACGGTTTATTATCTTCCAACAATTCGACCTGTGGGTCAAACGGTGTAAGGATATCTGAAGCCTGTGAACATCGAGTTATTAAGTCACCATCACAGCGCTTAAATCCAAGGCTTGAATTGCAAAACGTTAGCAATGGGATAATCCCAAAACGCACGGGAGCGACATACCCAGGAATAAGACGGCCCTTTGTTCCCCCATAGAAAAGCATGTTTCGAAATTCTTCAAACGAGTACCGTGGCTTCGAATCTGAAGGAACTCGGTAATTTTCAAGAACAAATTTCCCAAAATTCACCCGCATTCGCACATGGCCCACTAGGAATCGCACGCTCTGAAGAGCTTGATTGACGGCACTACGCAAGCGAAGCTCGTTCTTTGAAGAAAGCAAATTTCCTCTATCAAAGCTAACTCTCAAATCAGACGAATATAAATGTCCTCCGAAGAGTACAGGTACTGCCTCGATAGTACGGCAACCAGGTCGGCGGCATTCGACCAAGCCTATTTCCGTTTTCAGGAGATCGACGTTAGGAATTCGGACTAGATATAACTTGGTTTTGATGCCCATTTCCGTCACAAGGTTCGCCCATTTTGCTCGGAACCGCTTGACAATTTCGATGATAATTCCGTGATCGTGACCATCGACTCGAATATATTTTTGCTCATCTGGAGATTCCTTATATAGATAGATATAATAGCCAAATTCTTCACGGATGGCATCCAGAGCTTCCAGGTCTTTCCCAAGAGCTGTCTCCACTGGAATTTCATCTTCTGGCCAAAGGAAAAGCATCTAAAGTGCGCATATAATTGTTAGCTCTTATGAATTCGTAATATGGTTCAAAATAAGCCGTACCGTTTCCGAAAATGTAATAGAAGAATCGGGCCTCTGTCTTAATTGCTGAAGCAACCCCTGGCGCCTTTCCGTAAGTTCATTGCGTATCTCCTTGGCCGCCAAATAACGTGTGAGTTTTGCGAAATGATCCGTGTGTTTTTTGGCTTTGTCTGCAAAAAGCAATTAGCCACATAGAACACCGTAGGGTTTGCACTCAAGTAGCATACCATTAGGATAGAGGCTAATTCTAGTATCAACCGATCCAGGGCCTTCGTATATCCGCTGATCCTCGCCTCCAGCAGCAGCATTGTTCCCTCTGAGTTTCCATTGTTGCCACGACCTCGGAGCCAGACAGGCACACCTCTACCTACAGGAATAGGTCCTCCTGGACCCCTGCGTGCTGCTAGTGCTCCGTCGTTGTCAGAATTGCCTAGACATGTTAACTCTAGTTTCTATATAAAACAGGGAATTCCTACCGCTACTTGGGTTTCTATTTTGATTAGGGACACCTCCTGGTGACTTTTTATCAACGGGGTTACTTGATCGGGGGGTGGCCTGTTTATCCTCCAAGTCCAGCCTCCACACTGAAAGAAGTCAGCGAACGCACAGGAGGCCCAAATAACCGTAGCTATCCAAACATGAGGCAGTCTCATTGTTTACCTTTTGCGCCTAACATTTCGTACCTAGAACCACTTTAGCACACTTGTATATCAGTCAGGGGGACTGGGGAATTAGAGTTTCTCACTCTGCCATTCTCTTATTTAGAGTGTAGGAACCTCGAATGATAGATATAAGTGAAAAATACACTGAAATGTATCAAGAATAAGGAAGGAACAAAATGGAAGAGACACGAATCAAAATAGGGAACTCTGTGAGATCCACACAGGCATGGTATGGGTTTGACTATGGAAGAGAATGATGAATCCGAGGAAAAAGACAATATCTAGACCAGATATTGCCGTGAGATAGAACGGGAACTTAGCTTCTTTATCATTTCGTAGAGAGTAGCATTTCTGGCAAACATTCAATATCAAGAGATTGCGGTGATATTCAGCAATGAAAGAAACAAAGTAAAGGAATAGGTTGCCATGGAAGCTGGTAACACTGCACTTCCCCAGCAAGCATAATTGAACCCCGCAATTATGAATTCTAAAGCACCCACCCATCATACTATTCAATCCCATGACACGTCATATGTGTGAGATATTGCAAATGAGAGAACTTTCATATAACATCATCCACCTATATACCTATAAAACGCGTCTGAGGCGTAAATCCACCAGTTCTGACGTTGCGGAATCCGGGATATCAATAAACCCGGCATCAACGCAAAAACCCGCTTATCTAAGCCTCTAAGCTTCTCCAAGCAACAACGCAAAAACACCGCAACCAAACACCAAGCTCAATCCCGCCGAACCCCAATTCCAATTCCTCCCCGCCCGCCCTTCCGCATCCACTTTTAAAAGTTCCAACCGTGCACGGAACATAGTTTGCCACCATGTCTGGGAGCCGCGGAGCTCAGTACGGCCCTCAATTGTTACCCCTTCCCCCCACAGTCCAAGAGCCGGGCTAACTTCTCCAATGTGCTTCTTAACATAGGTTCAACCAACATGTGCTCATCGACACAACCCCCATGCCAGATAACATCCCCAAGGTCAAAGAGATCGGGGCCACATCCGCCCCTCTGATGAGCGCATCATTTTTTATCGGCGACCGCTGCAGGGCATTCAATGACGATTACATGAAGTGCAAGACGGAGGCTAATGGAAAGGGCGAGCTAGAATGCTTGAGAGAAGGCCGGAAAGTTACCCGTTGCGCAGCTAGTGTGTATGTATTTGTCGATACTGAAGGCATTGTTATAGGTTTTTTATTTTTATTTTTATTTTTTTCTCTGTTCCCGAATGCTGGCGTTGCTAAATTGTTTAGTTAGTATCAAGGATATCAACGCAAACTGCTTCGACCAATTCAAGGCTCATTGGGAATGTTTAGAACAGAATAACCACCAGTTATGGCAATGCCGGAGGCCCGAGGTTGCGCTGAATGCTTGTGTATTTGAGAAAATTGTACGCTACTTTTCATTTCGTGTTTCTCCCAATCAATCAAGAAAAGTCCGGACAGGTGATTGTGACTGACATATCTCGTGACAATAGGGACTAAAGAAAGAAATCCCCGATACCCCCAAGGGCCAGACCCCAATCCATCTTCGAGAAAAGCAGATCTATGCCAATTACTCTGGACCGCAATATTAGATTATTGTACTTCATCTTAGCCTGGTGAAAAACTAACACAAAAGATCTCGTTTGCTCTGTACATAGATACACATTATTAGTTCGAATGCTTACACGGTTTTTTACTCCGTTGAAACTTAAGTTCATTTAATTTGTCTAGAAATTGTATATGCTCCGCTTAATCACTGTCCTTTTCCCTCCAACACCGTCTACCTTCACAGTTTAGCAAGCTCTCGCCGCTGCCGCCACTTCTTCATCCTCTGCGCATACTCCGGCTGCACCGGTACATGCACCTTGTGGTGCTCCGCTGTGGCATACACCACCTTTCCATCCGGCGACTCCATCACTGCGCTTATAAGAGCCATGGTTCGCCCGTGCTGGACAACGTTGGCTCTGATGCGTATCGTTGTGCCTGTTACTCTTCGATAAAATAGAGGGGTGGATGGCTTAGTATGTATAATCAAAAATGGGAGAATGAAAGGAGCAACAATGTTTTGTATTTTCTCGTAGATATTCATACCTATGGGCACAGCTTTCAGATAAGAGATATTCAGTGATCGGGTAACGCCAGCTAGGAACCTATATGGAAAGTTTAGAGTCCCGATGTTGATCGTTGTGTATCTGCTGTGTTGAACTTACTCCCAGTATCCCTCCCTCGCGATAGGATTCATGGAAATGGCAGTGCACATATCTGCATATTGCACCAGTTAATCTCCGCTACAATCAATTCGATAATAAAAGGGAAAGGGAATTCAAGTCACGTACCAAATATGACCCCATAAGCACCGCCATGCATCACACCTAATTTTCAGGGGAAACTCTAATTAGCGTATCCGCCATTAGGAATAACTAATATAAATATTTGTCCTACCGTTCAAATTCGCCCAGAATTCTGTGATAGTAAGTTCCCAGACTGCTCCCCCGGACGGACTGGCATCGATCAGGCGCAAGTCTTGCATGAGTTGTCTATCATAGCCCTGTATTCCATGAGGTAAAGGGAAGATAAACGTAGGCGTCAGTTTTGAAAGGGATATTGAGTCATCATTTCATGAACGCCGTTGAAAGTAAATGTATTTTTCCAGATATAAACGGGATATGGCTACAGATACAGACTTTGAAATTCTTCTCCTTCATAATCCCCTTGTACCTGAAGAAAAAGCGTTAGCATATAGATAGTTAACTATAGAAGAGTAATACCCTGTTCAAGGTCAGATGCAGTGATTCTTTAAACTTACACTTCACAAAACCCTTCCACAGCCTCCCTCGCCGCCCTCCGTCTCGCACCATCGTCGTTGGTCATCTTATTTGAACACGTCTTCTTCTTTCCAGAAACCCAGTGCACGTATATATACGTACATGTAAATCTTAATACCGTCCACTCCACTTACACCCAATACCTAAGCCAAGTTGGTGTGTCGACTTAGTAGAGGCACGAACGGTCCTGCCCTTTTATCGGGGCCCAGCAGCAGTCGTGGATATATATCCCGTACTATTCTGTAGAGAATGATATCTACCTAGATAACTTTCTCGTTTCTCTCTTTTCCGAACGGGGTTGTTGGAAATATACCATCCAACAATTCGATTTGCACATTCATTCATTCAATTGAACAAATAGATACTCATTCCAGCATCGACGTAATCGCATTCCATCAATCTACATAGATAAAATGATGTATGGGATATAGATCTGACGCAATTGACCGTGGGTGAAGATACTCTCCCCCCCCTTTCATGAATCGACAAGCGGTTCCGTCATCTAACCAAGTGAATCCGCGGACGATTGACCTCGGTCCAACGTTTTCCAGCGAAGTCCTAATTTCAAGTCGGGATTAGCCCGCTTCGTTCTATAAGTTGTCACGTGATGTGTTAAATTTCAAAGAGATTAGATATTTATATTTATATTTATATTTTAAATAGCTGGAGTTCTGGAAAGTAATGGAAGAGTCAGTGGAATCGATAATCGTGAGGAGATTTGTTCTTGAGAAAGATCACGTTGTTGAATGCGAATAAAGAAAAAAAATTCTTTTTTGTTTTGTTTATTTTTCCTTTTGCTAAAGAGTTGGTTTTAAAGTGTCTAACATTAACTCCTACAACCCCTATTTACAAGTTCATTGGCTGCTATCCAGCAGCATTGGGGGATATATATATATTTATATACAGGCATGCATGTATCTCTTTGGTACAGATAATTGTTAGTGGGAAAGGGGGAGAGGTAAGGAGGTATGTATATGCAGGTTCATGAGGAATGAGTAAAAGCGATGCTCTGAGAATATGTACGGGGAAGTTATTACGACCACAAAGGCCCAAAGAGAAGAGAAGAAGAATCAGGGGAATAGGGAATGAAACAAGAGGGTGCAACAGTACCAACTCTCCTCCCCCCCAGCTCAACCCCCCTCCACAAATCTAAAAAGACTACCCCAGCCTCGGAATCCTTACTCTCACAGCCGCAACCCTCCTCCTCACCTCCGTCCAAATACTCAACCCCCTCAACTTATCCTCCAACTGCCTATCCCCATTAACCACGCGCAGCCATAAAAGCACACACCCCAACACTGCAATATCCCAACACAACTGCCGGATACTAATCCAGACAAGCCATTTAATCCACGCCCACAGACTTGAGCGGCGACGACTGTTCAGGGCGCGTGTCTCCATCTGTTCTCTCATCGCGGCCACTTCAGCTGTCATTTTGGTCATGGCTTGCTCGATGCGCCGGCGCCAGCCGGCGATTGTAGAGGCCTTTTATCCTCCATCTTTGGGCCTTGCCTTTTAGTTTTCCTCCTTTTCTAAAGCACCGGGAAGGCCGCCCGGCGGGCAT